ACGTTGTTTTTATAAAAACAACAATAAAGGGATAAAGCCAGACCATTTTGCAACAACAAAATACTACGGTATCCCGAACAAACAAGCCACACTGTTCTATTAATAGACAAGGCACGGTCGACGAAGGGGTTTTTGTTGTAACAGACAAAACCAACTTACATGGTTATGCTACTTCGTTCAGGCTGAACGAAAGCATAACAAGTGGAGAAAGATGTAAATGTTTATAAGTGCGGTTGTAAGATTTAGAAGACTTTCCAAGAGAATTTTAGTTTTATTTAATTCTTTGGTTCCTTTTCTATTGAGCTTACGATCTCGTCACTTGGGTAAAAAAATGTTTTTTGTCATAGAAGTTATTTTTAAAATAACTTCTGGGGAGAATATCCCAGACAAAAACAAGGGAACTGATGAGGATTGGTGGCTCTTTCCGAAACCTAGGTATTCCCTGCCTTACCCCCTGGTAAACATTACCATCGTTCTCCACTAATAAACAAACGTTGTTTTTATAAAAACAACAATAAAGTGATAAAGCCAGACCATTTTGCAACAACAATTTTTTAAATTTTTTAAATATTTTTACTTTGAATGTTGGGTTTTGAGTAGAAATTTCAAATATATCACGTGGAAAAATCTATATTAACTAAAGAACAGTAAGAAAAAGTCGAAAGTCGGGTGGAGCCGACTATATGATACCCTACACTACTATGCATATTTAGTAGAGCTCCCGTAACAAAATAATTTATTTGAAGTAGATCATACCACCTATCAACATTTGGCTTTAGAGCAGTTATAGTTTGGTTTCAGAGGGACATAATATATAGAATGCATATCCAATTCGGAATCGATTTTCACTAAATTTAACGGAAAATGTTTAATCTTTTATACCAAATAACATTGCTATAGAGTGTATGATATACATAATTTCGAGAATGATTATATTCAAAAAATATATATATCGGAGCCGAGTTCAATGGAAACGTACGTCCTGAAATCGGATTAAGGATATATATGGGAGCTTTATCCAAACCTTAACCGATCTCGATAAAATTTGGCAAAGGTATTTCCGAGCTCTATAGGATATCCGATAACAAATGTCATTGTATTTGTTTTCTCTTTCGAGACGAGCTTAATGATCTGAAATTTGCAGTGAAAAGGAAAGCCAGATAGACACTATCACACACTCACCACTATGCGACCCGTTTCGCCGTTGGTTAAGCGGCTCATCAGGCATATTTGATGTGGATGATGGCTTACAAGGGCCGTTCTCTGGAAAGTAGTATATATTTCGAACTTATTGCAAATTAGCATATGTGAATTATACACTAGAAACTCTCCAGGTTCGACTCAAGTTCTATTGGCAGATCTTTTTCACAGCAAAGTTTTGTTTTTGTAGTGATGAATTTTTTGTCCACAACAACTACATTGCTTCCAATGCATACACTTGTTTTAGTGCTGCTTTAGGAAGACGGGTTAATGGCATCGCATATGCTAATTTGCAATAAGTTCGAAATATATACTACTTTCCAGAGAACGGCCCTTGTAAGCCATCATCCACATCAAATATGCCTGATGAGCCGCTTAACCAACGGCGAAAGGCGTCGCATAGTGGTGAGTGTGTGATAGTGTCTATCTGGCTTTCCTTTTCACTGCAAATTTCAGATCATTAAGCTCGTCTCGAAAGAGAAAACAAACACTTAAATCATAAAACATATGATCTTCGCCTTAACAAGGCAAAACTCAAATGTCATTGTTGTTGAACGCATATTGCGAATGTGAGGGACTTAAACACCAATCGGATGAAACTTATATATGGGAGCTATAGCTTTATCTGAACCGATTTTCTCCAAATTTGATGTACTTGCTTCTAGACTGAATTCGGTCGGATGTACCAAAGTTCAGGACTTTTGGACGGATTTGGTGCACTATTAACCCGAAATAGGTTGAAGAAATATATGGGAGCTTAGATCCTCCAATGTAACTATGGGTCTATCTCGCTTTCTTCTATATATTACGAACAAATGCACAAAGACATAATACCCTTATCACTATGAGGTGTAGGGTATAAAAAAGTGATTGATTGACCGACATTATGCCTTAGAAATTCATCAACGCCCACACGAAACGGCTGAAGTTAGAAAGTTGAAATTTTGAACAAGGGTCACTCTTATTCAAAAGGTGTCAGATAAGATAAATTCGTACTAAAACGGGACGAGAAGTACTAACATATACTAAATATTTACTACTTTGTATTTAACGAACCAGTAGAGCTAGAATTTAGATTTGGAATGAGGAAATTTTGGAAATTCGAACTATAAGTGTACGCAAAGTTCTATAATGTACTACATTTAGTACCATTTCGTATCATGTGAACGGTAAGAGTTAAAAACGGGAAATTGGAAATGAGAATCATGGTTGGAAAGTAATTTTGATATATTATGTGGTTTTGGACATATGAACTAAGTATGCTAACTGTACTAAATTGGGAACAGTTTGGTTTAGGTTGAACGAATAAGACAAGAAAATTTTGTATTGATGGTAGGTTTGCGAAAAAGAGGTGATTTTGTAAATTTGTACTACAAGTGCAGGAAAAGTAGTAACTAGTACTGAATTTGGTACAATTTGGTATTAGGGTCATTGTTCATTTGTAGCCTAGACAATGGAGGTGGTCTCAAAAATGTGTGCTATATTTGTACGAAAAGTTCTAAATGGTACTTAATTTGGTACTGAGTGAAAAGATAAGACTGAATTCTTCAAATTTGATATTGAGGTCTCTGTTGATATCTGGATTTGAGATATGGATGTGCATTTGAAAATATGTACTGTGATTGTACGAAAAGTACACACAAGCAGTTCCATGTGGTCACTTTATACCTCAGCACAGAATTATCTGTATAGGTCCACGATATCGTATTTCCCCCATATAACGGTACCCCCCGATATTCGATATTTTAATGATTTTACCCACATTTTTCAACGGAATTGTCTAAAAATCAACACAAGGAGTTCCATGTGGGTACTTTATATCTCAGCAGAGAATTATCTATATAGGTACACGTTATCGTATATCCCCCATATAACGGTATCCCCCGATATTCGGTATTTTGATGATTTTACCCACATTTTTCAACGGAAATTGTACACAAGGGGTTTTTTGTGAGCACTTTACCCCCTGACAGAGAATTCTTTATATAGGCTAATGATATCGTATAGCACCCATATAACGATACCCCCGATATTTAGTAGTTTGATGATTTTAGCCACTTTTTCCAATGGAATTATCTGAAAATCCACGCAAGGAGTTCCTTGTGAATACTTTACATCCAGACATAGATTTGTCTTAATAGGTCCACAATATCATATATACCCCCATATATCGGTGCCTTCCTATTTTAGATATTGTAAAGATTTAAAATAAAATTTAATGGATTTTTTTTTTTTTTTAGAAATTTTCTAATTCGTTCCAAATGGTGGAGGGTTTTTCAAAGTTCGGCCCGGCCGAACTTACTGCTTTTTTACTTTTTCTTTAATTTCGATCTTTTTTGGGAAGGTATCAGAAGGAGTGGACCTATATTGCCCATCTCCGAACTCGATCCAAGTTTTTATAATAATATTACGATATATCAAGTTTAGACCAAATCGGATACTTCCTTCTAGAGTTTTCGTTCGCACCAGTCAACCAGACAGACAGACTGAGGGACATAGCTAGATCGACTCGAAATGTCCTGAAACAGATTTGGTCGATTAGGCATGTATGAAATTATATATACTCTCTCTAGCCATATGGCTATGGGTATAAAAATCAGAAATTTGTGTGTAGGAAAAAAATAGCAATGATTGGTGAGCCTGTTTAAGCACCAATAATTCTAGAAGTATTGTATATACAGGGTTGCCCATATACGACGGACCTTTGGACCCTTTGGGCCCATTCCAATCGACGAGGCTTGTCCGCAGGCAACATTCTTTGCGTCAATTGAATTTTGTACGAGAACAAATGCAAATCAATGCGAATAATCCGTTGTAAAGTGGACCGAGCCATGCCCAACTGCTGAGAACGGCGTTATTGGGATGTTCTTGGAGACCTCTCAACACTGGCTCGTGCGGCAGCGATATTCTCGGCCGATCGCCTTGGTCGACTTTTATATGGCCACTTCGGATTAGAAAGAGCCTTACCAGTCGAACATTTTTCGTATAAAAGCTTAATGGTGTTCTTAAAAGGTGCACTTCTCACATTTTTTAATGTTTTAAAAGCACGTTGAGTTTTCACAATTGACTTCTTGTAAATTTCAACTAATTAATAGCGCTCGCGTGGCGTGTATTGGTTCATGGTAAAAATCTGCTTGGACAGACGCTTTAAACGCAGTATGTCATTAAGCGATGTGACATCTCTATCAAAAGTTATGGCGTTGCCAGATGGGTCCGTCGAATATGGGCAACCCTGTATTTTTTTTAAATCTCAAAACTCATTCCAACATACTAAAACGGACATCGTAAAGCGTCTTTGATTATGGTTAAATACAAATATGCCTAAAACAAAAGTAATAACCTGCACGAAGGACTATTTTACTGACAATCTTCACGAAATTTGCATTTCTCCGACAATTAAAAGTTTCCACAGTTTTTTCGATATTGGGTTATTTTTGGGCTGTTAAATAATTATTTATATTTTTTTTATATTTATTCAGTCATTTATTTACTTATTTATGAAAGGATTTCGTTGGTGCAAATGTAAACGAAACTTTGTGTGATCTCGAAAGTCATCAAACAAAAACTAGCCACTTTCTGATGTTTAAAGCAACGTGTTTCGCCATAAACCAGAGTATTTCAATAAATCATTGTAATAAATTATAAACGACATCAACAATCAAAAACTATGCATATAAAATATAACTTATCCCCAAAGCCGTTCGAAATGGTATAAGTATTAAAACAGAACATTGATGATGTGAAAAATGTATGCAGAAATTATTGCTTCAATTAAATTGTCAAATTATTGCAATATTTACCGTTTCATATTCTGGAGCCGTAGTAAACTATTTCAATTGGCCGCAAAATTGTTTTATTAAAATGCGGAATTTATGTACAAAAGATGAAAAACACACAGACGTATTAGTTATCATTTTACATTTCAAAAGAGTATTTAAACGAAATTTTAGTTAAAATTTTAATAAAAAACACACACACACAACACTATGAATACGCATGTTTTAGTTTGCTATAAAATATATTGCAAACAATTGAATTAATTGGCAACGAACTAAGATCAAATTTGCATTGAACAAAACAACAATAAAATGCATTGAAGTAATCAATCAATAAGAACTGAGTTATGAATATTTAGCATATATGAAATATTTAATATTTTTTACGAATTTTGTATTTGTATAGGTTTTGAAATTTGTGTTGCTGTTGTAACAGTGTTTGTGTTATGAATAGGTATGCGGTTGTATTTTATATCATTATTTGTATATAAACAACTTATATTTATTACTCTTAGAGTTTCAATTCGGAGGAACTTCGTGGCTATTGAACTCCGACTTATTAAGGTTCAGAGAAAATATTCCCAATATACTCAAAATTCGGAAAGAAATGAAAGCAGATATGTTATGATATGTTTTGGATGTATACCCTACAGCACAATGTGTTGAGGTATTATAAGTTTTACAGGGCCAAAAATTATGTAACACCTCGAAATATTGGTCTCCGACATAGAAACTACAGGGTGAGATAAAAAAACTTTAACCAATTTCAGACTGCTGTCATTTCTAAGCCACTCGTCCGACATGATGTTAACATCATTTCAGTGACAGCTCATTATATTGTTTACAAGCGCACAAAAGCATTTTGGTGAGAATTTTCCAGAAAAAAGTTATTCGTAATGGAATTACAGCGGGATAATGTGATTTCTTTATATTTGGCTGGAAAGCCACAATTGACTATCGTTAGAGCACTCCAGCATTTAAATGTAAATAAATATTTTGTCTCGTACCATCGCTCTTTACCGTGATACTGGTGGTGTAGCCCGACGTCAAGGAAGTGCACGGAAGAAAACAGCAACATCAACAGAAATGGTTCGAAAAGTAAAGAAACGATTTGATGTAAACCCGCGTCGCAGTGGCTGAAAAATGGCTCGCGAGCTGAACATATCACAATATTCCTTTCCAAAAAGTGCAAGAACTTACACCGCAACAGAAAGAAAATAGACTCAACAGAGCTAAAGAGTTGCTTTGCTTGGCCCAAAAGTGGTGAACTTCCGAATTTGGTTTTCTCCGATGAGAGAACATTCGATTTCCAGCAGTTGGTAAACAAACAAAATGATCGTGTTTACTTGCCAAAGAGGTAAGCTGAAAATGTGCACCTACGGTTGGCCACCTGAACTCAAGCGCCAGCCATTGTGATGGTGTGGGCCGCCATTTATTCTGGTATCAGAATAAATACCGAATATTATCGCGAAAATATTCCGGAGGGTGTATTAAAGCCTTGGGCACGCAAACATTTTGGCCGCAGACCTTGGAAATTTCAACAGGACTCTGCACGCGCCACCTAAGAATGGTTACCAAATGAGGTTCCTCGCTTCATTTCCAGCGCACAATGGCCACCCAAAACTTCCGGATACCAATCCGTTAGACTATTGTGTCTGGAGTATTTTGGAAAGAAAAGTTGACACTAATGCCAAAGTGTCGATCACCTCAAGCAAGCGCTTCGCCGGGAATGGGCCAAAATACCGCAGAGCAACATTCGAGCAGCGTGTTACTTTCTCATTGCTCGTTTGAAGGCCATAATTCGTGCCAAAGGTGACCAATTCGAACAAATCTAAACTTATTCTAAAATTTAATGCTATTTCCGACATTTCTTATTTGGTGTAGTTTTTTTTTATCTCACCCTGTATATTTTCGACATTATTTTTTGTAATTTTGTATTTTGCCATTCTTCCGGAGTTAAAACATTTTTTAGACTATATCTATATCTATGAAAGAGAAAAATCTTTGTTTGTTTGTAATTTATGGATTCGAAAAACGAACAGATATTCCTGAAAGTAATGTAGGCTATATACTTTTTTGAAATTCCACTTTGAACTGGAGTTATAGCATCAACATCGAAGATACCTCCCAAAAGTTTAGATTTTTTAAATTTGCCAAATTATATTGAAATCGTTTCAGATTTGGATATAGCTCCCATATATATTTTCAGCCTATTTCATGTATTTGATGCATTAAACACGCTTTGTACACCACATTTCAGTGAAATTTGAAAAGCGTGATGGAATTTGTCTAGAACTTTATTTTTTTTATTTTTATTATATTGAAATCGATTCAGATTTGGACATAGCTCCCATACTACACATTTTCGACCGATTTCGTCTTTTTTTCATGCAGCAAACAGGATATGTATGTTCGATTCCAATGAAATTTGGAATGTGCGACAGGATTTTGATCAGAAAATAATTTTGTAATTTTATATTGAAATCGGTTCAGAGATATTTTCGGCCGATTTCACATATTTGATGCACACCACGCGAATTGTATGTCCGATTCTAATGAAATTCGGAAATTTGGTATCAAATATATATAACCGATTCCAATGCAATTCAAAATCTGTAGCGGAATTTGGTTATAATAATAAATTTGTGAAATTAAATAGGAAATCGGTTAAGATTTGGCCGATTTTAGGTTTTTGACGTACCAATTTTAATGAAATATGGATGGTGCAACGGAATTTGGTGTAAAAGTAAATTTTGTCAAGTTATATTGAAATCGGTTCAGATTAGGACACGATATTATTAAGAAGACAGAACCAACAACGCTTTTGCAATTGTATTAGGATAGCAGTAAAAAAAAACTTCACAACAATTTAATTGAGAATTCGATCATTACGGAGAAGTAGGTTGCTACCTCGAATTCACTAATTGCAACAAAAATGCCACACGACTTCAAAGGATTGCAGTTTCCTGTACGCTTGACATTTGCTATGAAATTAATAAACCCTTCGTGTATGCGGATTAATTTTGGCATGTTCCTGCTTTTCTCATGGTCAGCTGTTTCTGGCATATTCACGCGTTGTTAGAATGAGCTATTTGTTTGTTTACGCATTAGAGTATTACAATAATTAAGTTTTTTAAATTTAATTAAATTAAATCCGTCATTGTAAGTATTATTTTATGCATGGAACCAGATTTGTATCAAAATTTTGCACCCTCAATAGCAAAGATGTGCCGAATGAAGCACTTCATCTGAATAAAAAGTTTAACGAAAGTTGGAATGTTTTTTATCTTTTGATATGGTTTTTATGGGAAGTGTTTATATACTTGATTTCGATCTATATGATGTAATCATATTGAAAAACTTAACATTTATAAATTCAAAACAAGTAAGCAAAGGCTACAGTCGAGCGGGGCCGACCGTTGAATACCCTACAACACTATTATAAACGATACAGTTTATATAGGCGAGATACTCGAAAGAATTCCACAAGATATTGTGACAAATAATAAAAGAAAACCATCCGGTAACCCCCATAATTACGACATGCTGACAATTTTGCAGTTTTTTGGTCCATTTCAACCCCTAAATATATGGCGATCATCTCCAAAAAGAATAGGCTTTTATTCTGACCCTCATCTTATATCCATGCAAAATTTCGTAAGGATCGGGCCATAAATGCGATCTGTATATGATATCCTGATATCATAACTACTTAGTTTTGTTAGCTGTAGAAATATTACCAAATGTATAATTCAAAATGAAAATATGCCAAAAATATGACAAAATTGAAAAAATATGAGAAAATGTAACAAAATCAATATTTTTATCTTTAGAGAGATATTTTTATGCGATTTTTTTAGACGTTTTTTCTTTCCTGCCAAGAGGCCATTCTGAATTAATGAGAACTGTCGAAATCAGTTCAGCCGTTCTCGACATATAAGAGATCTTTCAAGCATATCTTCTTTGATAGACATATATATCGCACATATTTTGCTATATATCCGATTTGTTGGATGTTAACATCAATGTAAAGATCAGAAGTAACCTTGTCATGGCTTTGTGATTTCGCCGGGATTTAAAATATTCGCGGTTTAATGAAAAATTTTGAATTTTTTCAACAAAAAAGATATGGTCTATTTTACCCGCTAAATATTATCCGATGACCACCCAAATGGGTAGGCTTCTTGCCAGCCCTAAACTCTAGCTACATGCGAAATTCCGCGTCGATTGGTCTATAATTGCGACCTGTAGAGCAGGTGCAAAATCAAGAATTTTTTCAGTTTTTGGTCCATTTCAATCCCTAAATATTATGCGATCATCACCAAAAGAAATAGGGTTCTATTCTGATCCTAGCCCCACCTCCATTTTAAATTTCGTGACGATCGGACCATAATTGCGACCTGTAGAGTGATTACAAATTAACATGGACAGACGGACAGACGGACGGACGGACATACATAGCTAGATCGACTCAGCTCGGCGAGCTAGGAAGATCCATATATACTTTCCTATGTGGGAAATCAATATTTCGTGGTGTTACATAATTGTTGGCCCAATCAAACTTATAATACCCCCAACACATAGTGTTGTAGGGTATAAAAAAAAAATAGCTTTTTCCATTTTTGTTTGGCATATATCTTATATTTCATATTTCAGATTGAATCTGCAGAATTTAATACAATAAAATGTTAATAGTGTATTTTGGAAAGTGTAAATTTCTGAAACATTCTTCATTCGTCCTCTTGCTAATGAAATACTTTTTATGAAATCAAAATGTGTTAGTTTTTTTAATAAAATATCTAAAATGCATTTGTCATAAAAATATTTGCTAAAATAAATGAAAACATTTCCAAACATAACTTAAACAATTCTTTTATTTACGTAATGCAAATAAAAAATAAATATAAAAACACACACACATAAAAAAAATATTTCATGTTTTCTGAATGGAAATTCCAAATTTGCTTATCTTAAACTGGTAAGAAAATTCAATGTTTTTATTACAGCTGTTTAAAGACAAATGCCCTGAAAATGTTTCTCCACAATACATCTTCTCCCTGTTTGTGAAAACCTCTTCCATGCTGTTTTGTTATGAACATATAAATTGAGATATTCTTTACATGCAAATTCCCAGAAATTTGCATGACTACAAATAGCACAGCAATTTGTACCTGAAATCTTTAAATGTCAGTGGTTGGGATTGTGTTCAGAATTTAATTGAATATTGTTGAAATAAAAGGCTACTTCTTACAATATTAAAACCTTGAGAATACCAAAGATGAAAGAATCAGAAACTTTTTCGCAATTATCGATGATTTCGATTGAGCAATTGTAAAGTGGAAATAGACATTTGACCATTTAGACGAATAGGTCAATACACCATTAAATGTAAGCATCTCTTAAATTTTAGATTTTTACCAATTTCAATGGAGTTTTTATCAAATTTATTTTTTTACGGAAGAAAATATAAGCCATTTCTTTTAAAATAACCTACGTTTTACAGCATATGTAAAATAAAAAAATTTACAATAATTTTATAATGACACATGAAGTTCGGAATAAAGAATTAAATCGCTGTTTGTCTGCTGTCTATATAAGTAATATTAAAAAATTGTTTCATGAAAATGTTGACAGCGACTGCGCCTCAAATGCTCCATCCACTTAGTACAATTTTAGTATACTATTTAAAATATTTAATTTTTTTATTCGAATCTATATTTTTTTGGCTCAATGGGAACGTAAATAAGCAGAATTGCCGATTTTGGAGTGAAGATCAGCCAGAATCAGTTTGGTGCGATTTATGTGCTGGTGGCATCATCTTAAAAATGCTGCGAAGTTTATGATAACTGAGTGGTGAGCGCTACCGTGAGATGATACACAACTTTTTGCCCAAAATGCAAGAGTTTGACTTGCACTACTTATAATTTTTTTCGACTATTCAAAATTGTCAAAATCGTGCAATTTTGCACCTTTAAATTTTTATTCCCTGGCCCACATAGTGGTAACGGTATTATGTCATTGTGCATTTGTTTGTAGCATAGAGAAGGTAGTGAGATAGACCTATAGTTACTTTTGAGGATCTTCATAGAACCACTTTCAGAATCGATTTACGCATGTCATTTCGTCCGTCCGTCTGTCCACGTATTTTTGTCAATAAAGTACAGGTAGCATTTATAAGTCTGATTGAAATGAAACTTTCCAAAAATCAATTGTTTGATACAAGGACGAACCCTATTGAAGTTGGTGATAATCGGTCCAAATTGAGATATAACTCCCATATATATTTTTGTCCGAATTCAGTCTAGAAACAAGTACTTCAAATTTGAAGAAAGTCGGAGAAAGTTGATACCGGACATCCGATACAGGTCGAAAACATCTCTGCCAAATTTTGTTTAGATCGAATCAGATAAGCATATAGCTCCCATATATATCTTTAACCGACTTCGAGTTAATTGTGCACCAAATGGCCAATATAAATCCAAATGACCTCAATTTTAGTACATCCGACGGAACTCAGTCTCGAAGCAAGTACATTAATTTTTTTTTTTTTTTTGAAAATCAATTCAGATATAGCTATAACTCCTATACATTTTTCATCCATTTAAGTCCCTCACATTCGTAACATGCACTCCACAACAATTATATTTGGTACCAGATATCTCATAGAGTTTGGAAATGCCTATGTCAAATGTTATGGATATCGGATACGATTAGGATATAGCTCCCATATATATATCTTTATCCGATATCAAGTTTATTGTGCACCAAATGGCTAATATCAGACCATATATACTGAATTTTGGCAATTCGAATGAATTCATCCCAGAAAGAAGTACCTTAAATTTGGTCGAAATCTATTCAGAGCTATAGCTCCCATATTTGGCTTTTTAGGTCCATCTTATGCGTAATATGCACTCCACAACAATGTTATTTGATAGCGGGCACCAGATACTTCTCGAAAATACCTCTGCCAAATTTTTTCGAGCTCGGTTCAGATTTTTATATAGCTTCTATATACATATTTATATAGACATCTGTATCCGATTTTACTGTTATTGCTCACCATATACGTAATATCAGTCTAAATTGAAAAGATATTTTTCATATTCAATGGAATTTTACCATTTGGTAAAACTCGGTCCGGTATATATATTGCTGCAATAAATATTTTTTAATATAATTCTTATCGAAGTCGTATCATGCACTATACAGCAATGTGATTTGGTGCTAGAGGTACAAAAGCCTCTGCCAAATTTGTTGAAAATCGATTCAAAGTTGGATATAGTTCCCAAATATTGATGATACGCATTCAAGTAAAGTTCACAGTTGGTATGATCTATGGGGGTTCTACTAAATACACACAGTAGTTTAGGGTCGGCCCCGCCCGTCTTTTGACCTTTCCTTAGATTTTTGAAAAGTTTATCATCAATCGATCAGAATTTCAGAAATTTTGAAATTTGATATATTTGATCGATTTTAATGCGTTTGACACATCTTTAAATGATTGGTTCTATCATTTGAAGGCGAATTGATAAAGACTGTAAAACAAAATTTTACTAGTATATCAGAAACCCATATTAAAATAAAATAAAAATTTAATTTTTCGCAGATTTAATTGAGGCCATAAAATCCGAACTGTATCTGACAAAACAAAAACCAGCTAGGTTAGTGTGGGCCTGTATCTTATCGCAATGTGCGCACTATTTTTGATGCAAGATAACAGTTTTGAGAACATATACAAATTAAAGAAAAATTTCGGTCATAAAACCGAAGGTAACAATAGAACACGATGTAGTGGACATTTTGAAAGTTTACACAAAATTCTAGGAAAAAGGGATATTGTGCCCCTGTCTAAATGCGCTATGTCATTTATACAGGGGCACAATATCCCTTTTCCTAGAATTTTGTGTTCTTAAATATTATTGCGAGCAATAATGAAGAAACCAACATAAAGGGTATTTCCGTGAAAAATGTTAGCACACACGCGACTCAATGAAGGGGGTTTTTGTTACCTTTTCTCCCCAAAAGGCTATAATATACTTTTGAAAGTTGTTATAGGATGTATAAATATTCGAAAAACTCCTCGTTATTACGTTTGGAATAAATACAAAACAACTTGGAAATAATATCCCCATTAAGGATAACGTCTGAAGTATACTTTCAAGACACCGGAAAACATGTTAAGTGGTTGTTTTCCAGCAATTATTTGTTGTGTTGTAAGGTATTGTCTTCAAAATTGTCTGAATCTGTAAATGCTCTTAATTAAAAAATATAAATATAAAATAACTAAAAAACTAAATTTTTCGTTCAATAAACGATGTTCTACGTGCTATATATATCTCATGCAATGTATGATATATAAGCCAAATAGTAATGTTTTTTTACATATTAAAAGGCTTCCAGTGCATTCAAATTGCTCTCAATTTTACAACACCCACTTCATACGTAATATGAATATATCGATTTGAAAAAAATGGACTTAAAAAATAATAAAATGAAAATGAAAAAATGAAATCAATATCGCTATTGGTATTATCATGCAATACTGACAGAAACACAATTTTTTGATGACTTACCGTTGGTGTATTGAGTAGAGGTGGTAAATTATTTAATAAATTGGAAGATTGTATATCCACACGCACCGGAGGTGCCATAGTGGTCGGTGGGGGTGGCGTTGCAATGGGTACCAATGTGCCAAGCTGGAATGATAGGTAAATAAAAAATATATAAAAATATTATACAAGATATATGGACAGGAGAATGTTCAATTTAAAGCTCAGTTTTTGTAAATATTTGCATTGCAGTAAACATTTATTCGAATTTAAAGTTAAAGTTTATATAAAGAGATACGAAAAAGTATATATGGCGTCATTATCGATTTAATTATTGAAATGATTTAAAGTATAGATTCGTATTAAGGGAAAAGCCGTTATCCTAAAAATCCTAACAATTATTGTAAATTGAGTAATGGATTTTGCTCGTAATTACGAAAAAAAGATACAGCTGAAATCCCGAGTTTGACAACGATTCGATTTAACGATCATTTAGATATTTGAAATTTTGACACACATCTGCCAACCTGTGTTGTAATTTTGGAACATTTACGGAATTTAATACGCTCACATTTTATTGGAGTTTTTGAAGAAAATTACAAAAATGACTCCATAATGGTCCCACGATTTAATGAACATAAAATTCATGAATTTTATAACTCGAGTATTTTCAAAAAAGTAAGTATGGGCACAAATTTCCCATCTTTTTTTCGATATAAACTTACGTGTCTCGTATTTTCGGGTTTTCTTTCATAATCGTTTATTGTCATTATCGCAGAGCGGTATGATATGACAATATAATATTGGTATTTTGTAAAGTCCTTAGCATATCTTAGAAGATAATATCACAAATAATGTTCTGTATCTTTCAGTAAAGCCTTAGGGCGATTCCTATGATGTTCAAATAGTTTGAGAATTTTTGTCGATGTCCATTAAAAAACTTGTATTATGATATTACCATAATTCCATTTGGAACATCTCGAAATAATCATTGGTGACCCCATAAATTATATATTTTCTTGGTCGGCATAAAATTCTAAGACGTCTTAACGAAATACGTCAGTTCGTCTCTTGATGTCAGGATATAGCCTTTAAATGGAGCTTTGATATAGGATTGTGGCATAACGTTATCTACATCTGTACCTTCCAATATTTTTCGTTCCATGACAATGCTGATTCCGTTCAAGAAAATGTTTTTAAATGCGGTTGTAAGATTTAGAAGAATTTTAGTTTTATATAATTGTTTTCTTTCACTCCTATTGAGCTTGCGATCGTCACTTGGGTACCAAAAAGTTTTTGTCATAGGGACTATATTAAAATAAGTCCTTGGAAGAATATCCCATACAAAAACAAGTTAAAACCAGTAAGGAAAAGTCAAAAGTGGGACTGGGCCAACTATATGATACCCTACACCACTATGCATATTTAGTAGAGCTCCTATAACAAAAGAATTTTTTTGAAGTAAATCATACCACGTATCAACATTTGGCTTTAGAGCAGTTATAGTTTGGTTTCAGAGGGGACCAATATATATGGAGGCATATCCAATTCTGAATCGATTTTCACTACAGACATTTTAATCTTTTATACCAACTAACATTGGTATAGAATGCATGATATCATTTCGAGAAGGATTATATTAAAAAAATACGTATTGAAGCCGAGTTCCACTAAATGGAGACGTATGCCCAAAAATTCACTCCATTTGGGATGAAATTAGCCACTATTTGCACAATAAACCTGAAATCGGATTAAGGATATATATGGGAGCTATATCTTAGCCGATCTTGATCAAATTTGGCAAAGGTATTTTCGAGCTCTATAAGATATCTGGTACCAAAAATTATTGTTGTCGAATGCATATTACGAATTAAACACAAAATCGGATGGAACATATATGTGGGAGCTATAGCTATTTCTGAACCAATTTTCTCCTAATTTGTAGTACTTGCTTTTAGACTGAATTTGGTCGAACTTGGTATCAGAACTTTTGGACAGATATTGGTCACTTGGTTCGCAATTAACCCGAAATCGGTTGAAGATATATATGGGAGCTATATCCAAATCTGAACCGATCTTGATAGAATTTGTGCTATATATGATATTTGGTACCAAAAATATAATTTTTGTGGGGTGCATATTACGAATGAGAGGCACTTAAACACCAAATCGGATGAAACACATGCTTCTAGACTGAATTCGGTTGTGTCTAAATGCAGGTCATTGGGGCTGATATTGGTTTTTTGGTGCACAATTAAACGGAAATCTGTTGGAGATATATATGGGAGCTTTATTCAAATCTGAACCGATCTTGATAAAATTTGGCAGTGGTATTTCTGGGCTGCATCTGATATCTGGTACTAAATATCGTTGTTGTGAAATGCATGTGAGGGACTTAAACGCCAAATCCAATGAGACATATATATGGGAGCTATAGCTATATCTGAACCGATTTTGATATACTGACTTCTAGACTGAATTCGGTTGGATGTGCCAAAATTTGGACTTATATTTGCCATTTGGTGCACAATTAACCCGAAATCGGTTGAAAATATATATGGGAGCTATATCTAAATTTAAACCGATTCTAACCAATTTCAATAGAGTTCGTCCTTGGACCAAACTAATATTGTTTGGGAAATTTCATGTGACCTGCGTTTTGTTCACAAGAATACATGGACAGACGTACTGACATGCATAAATCGACTCAGAAAGTGATTCCATGAAGATCCTCAAAAGTAACTATGGGTCTATCTCGCTTCCTTCTCCATGCACAAAGACGTAATACCCTTACCACCATGTGGTGTAGGTTATAATCAAGAGATATGTTACGGATTAGTGGTCCTTTCCGAAACCATGGTATTCCCTGCCTTTCCCTTGCAACAGCAAAATAACTACGGTATTTCAAAAATTCTAAATATTTCAAAAAAAAAAAAAATGTTAGTGCTGTTCGGATTCGACTTCCATTAAATTTTTACGATTTTTTTTTTCATTATGTTAGTATATTAAGACTTAAATATAAGTATGGGTAAAACTTGTGTCAGCTATATCTAAATCGATTGGGCCAAGATTTGCCAGACTTTATTCTAGTCGGTTCTCGATCTATGTCTGGGCTGTATCTGATTTCTTTCGAAGAACGTCTTAATTATGAAACTGGATGAAATACATAATATGTGTATGTATATGGGAGATATGCCCAAACTTGGCCTGAATACTTATAAATTTCAAATCAATTCAAGTCAATTTTGTATCAAATTGCAAAGTTTTGTATCAATTGGACAGTAAACGAGAACTGTAATTTTCGCACAAATAACAAAAACTGATCTTGTTTCCGTTTGCATGTTGCCAACAAATGCAAAAATACATAATACTCTGTAAAAAATGTTCAACTACATTAACCACACCATTGTACAATTTCGTATGGTTAATATTCAATGAGATAGGGCGCAAAAGGACTTTGTACTTTATATACATTCTTCTTTGCTGTAAAGGTTATTTATTTTAAAATCAATTTAATTATTCATATCCTATTATCCATTTTACCCGCTCATATATGTATGAGCAACTGAATTAAAAGCACTGCCCGGCATGTCTTATCTCTTGTCCGTCCACACTATCTTCCTGACTCTTATCGCATTATCAAATTTAATCGCTCAAGTGGGTACAATTTTATTCATGCATTTTTACCCTTTATGTCATTTTTAAATATCGCATCTTATACACATCATCACATCTTTTCTCAAAGGCACAGCAGTGAAGTTGATGGTGACCATAAAGTCAATGATCCAGATTAAAGCCATTGTGATAATTGCCTTCGCATATATATATATATATATATTTATATTCAATAATACGATTTATGTTTTAAATTGCCCTCGATAAATATTATTGAAACACTACAGAAAATTTACATATTGCTAAGAATAATAAAAATCGAAACTAAGATTGTATCAGACACACATTCACGTTTCGTGAAAGGCAAATACTACTACGGTGCCGGATATGGAAACTAAGATTTATACAGGTTTTATGAACACCCAGCAATACCTTGAATGCATATAAATTAGATGTGACGATGATGATATGGAAATATTTCCGCTATTCAGAGTTTTCCACTTTAGTGGGAGGGTAATTTTCTCATTTTATACACCAGAAAAACACACAAAGGAAAACTGAATAGGGGTTATAAACACACGATTATGTTCAGACGTGGCTGCTTCTATTGTCGGAACGTATAATTTTAGGGTACAACATACGTACATGATGCGTACATACATACATTCATGATTATGAAATACACGTTCCAAATGCGTATGTGAGTGTTAGATGATATCACGAGAGCGTGCATCTGTGTAAATCTGAGAATCATATTTATTACATGGATCTCAATTCTTGAAGATTTGGTATTGAATCTTTACACAAACACTAACATATGCTTCTGTGTGTGTGTGTGTGTGTGTGTGTGTGTGTATGTTTATGCATATTTTTTGTACTTTTACACAGTCATTATCATAGATGTCGTTTAACCTTCATGCCATCTCCCCATCGCGTCATAATGTGTGAAACTCGCTATAGAGGGTAGTTGAGTTATGTAAGTGTTAACAGAATGCGTAATTGTGCGAATGATAAATCGTTTTTTGTTGTTTTTCTTTTTTGCTCGGCACATATGAATCGTGCGTGTTGAATGTTTGAATGCATGCAAAAACAGTTTCCAAGGGCAATCTCACTCTATGCCATTTTAGATTCAAGAAGTTCAACTACAAGTCCCCCGAGTGCCATTATCAGCAGACTTTTTCCGACTAACTTAAAGCCACAATTCATTCCATGTAATTTTGCCGCACAGAGATTCAACGGATTCTAAGCCATCTTTGTGGTTAATGAAATTATGTTTTAATATGTTATTATGGAAGAATAATTGATTATGATTACGAGGCTGTAAAAGAATATATGTTATTGTGCCGTTTCTTGAACCTTTCGTGTGAAATTTGTGAGAGAAAGCCAAAAATTAAAAATTCCTCAACAGAAAAGAACCCGTTACCTGGGACTACATTAAAACCTAGAATTATAGATATTTGTTTCGTGAAAAACTTGCCTTCTAAGTAGAATCACGAATTGCAGCAAATCTGTTTTAAACTTTTTGCTTATTT